CACAGGTCACCAGTATGGGTTGGCACTGGACATTAAGACACGGGTGGCACTGGGCACCAGTACGGGCTGAAACTGGGCACCAATACAAGCTGAAACTGGGCACAAGTATGGGCTGGCAATAGACTGGCAACAGTCACCAGTTTGGGCTGGCACTAGTACCAGTATGGTCTGCCACTGGGCACCAATCTGGGCTAGTATGGCTTCACCAGTGTGGGCTGGAAGTGCCACCACTCTGGGCTGGCACTGGGCACCAGCACAGGCTGGTACTGGACACCGCAGGCACCAGTGTGGGCAAGAGGTGTCCGTCAGAAGGGGCTGGCATCAGAAATCAGCAGGAGCTGGCACTTGGCACGAGCATGGGGTGACACTGGTGCCAGTGTGGGCATCAGTACGGGCTGACACTGGACACCAGAATGGGCTGGCATCAGACACCAGTTTGGTGGGGAGGTATGGACTGGCACTGGACGCCACTATAGGCTGGCACTGGGCACCAGTATGGACCTGCATTTTGCCCTATTGCAGGAATGGCACTGGGCACCAGTACAGGCTGGCAGTGGGCAGTGGGGTGGGCTCATATTGGGCACCAGTTTGGGCAGGAATTTGGCACCAGTACAGGCTGGGTCCCAGCAAGGACAGGGGCATTGCCCATCTCCCCAGGGCCCCGGGCTGCTGCACCGGGCTGGGACCTGCCCAGGGGGACATTCCTGGGGGGAGTGGGGGGAACGGGGTATGGGGACACCCCCGGGCAGTACTGCCACCCCCCCAGCCCAGCCAGGGCCGCAGGGTGCAGCTAATTAGGAGCTAATTGCATTAAACCGGAGCAGCACTAATGCAATTGTGGGATTATCCCGCAGAGACAGCGACCCCCCCACTGCTGCCGGAGTGACGGGAGGGGGGTCAGACACACGGACACGGGGCCTGATCCAGCCCGACCCCCCCAGTCTGCCCCAGTGCCCCCCAGCATCGCCCACCCCTGCTCGGGATGCCGCCCTCCCCCGGGGCGTTAATTACCCAGCGCTAACGAGGGGCTGATGGCACAGAGGGGGGCCTGCAGGGAAAGAGCCCCCCGGGGCTGGGCTCCCCCAGCCCGGCACGTCCCCGCCGCTGGCGGTGATTACCGAATTAACCGGCTCCATCTGAGCCCGTCTGCCGCCGGGATGTGGGTCAGGGATTACCCCTGTCCGTGCCCCCCAGCCCGGACCCGGCTCTCCCTGTCCCCAGCACCCAGGAGCATCCCCCGCTCCTGCCATGCCCATCCCGGCAGGCAGAGGAAGGAGGTTCAGGCGGCCGTAATAAATACAAGAAAAGTTTATTGAAAAGAAAAAAATGTGGGGAGGGGGCAGCAGCCCCAGCCCGTGGTAATAAATAACAACCTGGGGAGCACCAGTTTACAAAATATGGCTCTGGCCAGTGGGGTCCTGCAGGGTCCCCAGCGAGGCTGCTGGGGGCTGCTGGGCACCTCGGGGAGGAGCTTAGGGGGCCCAGCCCCCTGGCACCCCCGGGCACCTGAGAAGGAGCTGCCCCAGTGCCCCAGGGGCAGTCCCGGCCCCAGGAGGGACCTGGGAGCAGCCCCATCCCTGCCTGTCCTGAGAGCCAGCACGGTGCCACGGCAGCGTCCCCAAGCTGGGGGCACCGGCTGCGGGCAGGAGCTCAGCACCACCTGGGGCACCCCTGGGTGGGCACCCCGGTCACATCCTGTCCCCCTCCGGGGCTCAGGCCAGGATCTTCTGGGGGATCTCCACCGAGGCTTTGATGAAGATGGCGTTGTCCCGCACGTAGTTCCGTTTCCTGATGTCCTCGTGGGAGATGAACTTGGGGTAGCCGAAGCCCAGGGTGCTCTCGTCCAGGGAGCTGCGCGAGGCTCCCGGCTTCTGGAAGTTTTTCCAGTTGGGGTCGGGGTGGAAGGTCTCGGTGATGTGCTGGGGCTTGGAGAGCGAGGGGTCACTCTGGTCCAGCAAGGAGAAGGTGACACGGTAGGAGAAGGGCCACTCCAGCAGGTTGTCGTACTCGCCCGGCAGCACGCGGATGTAGACGGAGAGGTGGCTGCTCTCCCCGCTGCCGTTGCCGTTGAGGAAAGCCGACACCTGGAGCTTGTAGCCGTACTTGTGGGTGTAGAACGGGGGGCTGAAGAACTCGTAGTTGCTGCGGGCTTTGGCCTCCTGCAGCTTGCGGGCGTAGTCGGCGATTTTCCAGATGAGGGTCCCGTCGCTGCTCACCGACAGCTCCTCCACGTCCCGACGCAGCTCCAGGATCTCCTGCCGCTGCCGGCTCACCAGGGCACACACCATGCCCAGGTGGGTCTTGGTGCTCTCCTCCAGGTGCCGGCCCATGGCTAGCTTGGGGCACTGTGGGGACAGCAGGGCCGTCAGCAGGAGGGTGGCAGGGACGGCGTGGGGACAGGAGAGAAGGTACCGTGGGGATAACATGGAGATGTCATTGGAGCACCCCTTCTCACTGGGGTGTCATGGGGACACAGGGACACCTGGTTGAGGTGGCAGGGGGACAACTGGGTGGCAAACACAGGGGTGAGATCACGGAGCCACAGGGATGGGACTGAGCACGAGGGATGGGATGGATGTCGGGGCAGAGGCGGTGTGGAGGTGTTGTGGGGCACAGGCGTGACATGGTAGGGACAACACCCCATGCCCAAGGATGCCAGGGCGGGTTGGTCTCAGGGACAGCACTCACCCGGTGCTTGCAGCCAGCTTCCTTGAAGGGGCACAGCAGCATGGCAGTGTTGCAGCTCTCCTTGAGGTGGGTGGGCACATCCTCCCGGGCAATGCTGGGTGTCCCACACTGGTTGGGGCACGGCACGGGGTACCGGGGACACTGGTACTGGTGGTTCTGGGGAAGCAGAGAGGCTGTCAGCTGGGGCTGGGAGCTGGGCAGGATGAGGGTCCCCATGGGCTCCAAACTCACCTGGATGGTGTCAAAGACGAACTCCTTGGAGCAGTAGGTGCAGGGCTGGGTGCGCTTGGGGCACTCGGCCAGGGCGTGCTGGGACAGCAGGCGCCGCATCATGCGGGCCCCACACTTGTTCTCACAGTACACACTCTCCTGGGGACACGTGCCCTGGTGGCCCTGGGGACCACGACAGTGTCACCACCCTCTGGCTGCCCTCACCAGCCAGCCCTGACAGCGATGAGGACACACGGTGCCCCCACAGCCAGAGGGCACAATGCCCAAGAGCCCACGTGTCCACATCCCCCCCAAGGCTGCCCCCACCATGATGTGTCTCCCGCAGTGTCCCCACACCCAGGCTGTGTCCCCATGGTGCCCCTGCAGCCCACTGGGGTGCCCGCACATCCCGGCTACACCGCCACAACACCCCCAGCACAGCCATGCCCACCATGGCACCCCGGCCAGCGGTGTCCCTCACAGTGTCCCCCCCACTGCCCACCTCGAAGGCCTCCCCGGTGAAGTCGCTGGCGCAGAACTCGCACTTGACCCTGCGCTTGGGGCAGCCGTGCTGGACGTGCTCGGGGAGGTCACGGCGGCTCAGCTTGGCGCTGCAGCGGTTGGGGCAGGGGATCACGTTGAAGCCACAGGTGCCGAGATGGGCCTGGGGGACACAGGGACGGTGACAGGAAGGCCTCAGGGTACAGCTCTGCCCCCCGCCATGCTCTCGGGCCCTACCTGGAGGTGCTTGATGAGCCCGCTCCAGCGGCAGCCCTCCTCGCTGTGGATGCAGCGGATGGCCAAGCTCAGCACCTGCGCCTCCAGCTCGGGGTCGGGGTAGATCTGGAGGGGCAGCAGCGGGGTATCAGCATCCCGCAGCGGGCTGTGGGGGCACGCAGCCCCCGGCACAGCCTGGCTGGGAGCCCCGGGCACGCTGCCCGGATCCCCCCCGGGCACACCAACAAGCGCCCTTTGTCGGGAGCGGGTTTCCGCTCCCCGGCCCCGCGGCACAAAGGGCTCTTGCTTCCGCCCGGGCGCCCGTGCCAGGCCGGCGCGGCCGTGCCAGGCGCCGTGCAGAGCTGGGGACGGCCCCTTGCTGGGGATGTCCCCTTGGAGCAGGGTACCCATCCCTGTGCCCGGCTCACCTTGGCATAGTCCAGGGGCAGCTGGTCCTCTGGACACTTGAAGACGCCTTCGCTGCAAGACACAGAAGGCTCGGGGTCACTCGGGGCTGGTGGCACAGCCACCACGTCCCAGCGGGTCCCCGCCATCCCATGCCAGGACATTGATGTTGTCCCTGCATTGCTGAGCGCTCACCCTGTACCAAATCCAGCCGCCACCCTGGGGGAGGCACGGCTCTAATCCTGCTCCATCTGTCTGAGCTGGGAAATGCCCCCGCCAGACACCCCCCCGGCAGCCCCCCCCCCCGGCTGCGGTCCCCAGGGGCCCGGGCCAGCCACCGTGAGCCTGGCACCATCTGGAGCCCGGCAGCCCCTTGCCCATCCCGGCCCTGGGATTAAGGAGGGTGCCAGGAGGGGGCCAGCAGGGCCGGGGCGGCCACAGCCCCAGGTGCCGGGGCCCAGGGGAGGTGGGGGAGGGCAACAGCTGGGCGCCAGATGTGCAGCCCTGATGTGTGACCCTGGGAGTCCTGCTCCACAGGAAATGGCCCCTCCAGCCATCACAGTGAGTCAGGACAGGGGGACAGGCAGCCCCCCTGGAGGGGTCCCCATCCTGCTGGGCCCCCTGAGAGCTGTCCCTGAGGTGGGACGGGCCCTGCTCAGCCCTGCCATGCAGAGGAGCAGCATGAAGTGGAGACAGGGGCCCAGCCAAAGAGGCAGCCTGGCCTGTGACAAGGCTGGCCAGGAGTCACCATCACCTCTGCTCCACACATCACTGTGCCCAGGGGTTGGAGAGGGTGTCCATGCATGATCTTTGATGGACACTGGGGTGGGACACCACAGGTGCTGCCCACAGGGACACGCAGGAGGGATACAAAGGGACCCTGTGGCTCTGCTGTCTTTGAGGTAACACTGAACAAGGCTGGACAGCCCTTGTGCCCATCTAATCACTGCAAGCCCTTGGCAGGCACTGGTGTGGCCTTGACCAGAGCTGCCAAGTGGATGTGAGATGCCGGGACGGAGCCAGCAGTGCCGCTGGGCACGCGCCAGCCTGGCCATGGCACGGTCATGTCCCCTGCTGCCACCAACCCTGTGCTGGGAGTACAGGTGAACCCCAGGAACCACAGCTCTGTGGGGTGTGCCCCACGTGAGGAACGGCTGCAGCCACCTTTGCCACGTGCCCACTCTGCTTGTCACAGGTGGTTTTGTGGGAGTCACCAGGGATCCACCGAGATAAGGTGCTCCAAGGCACCCTGCCCTTCCAGGGGAGCCCGTGGCATTGCCCCGTGGCATTGCCCCGTGGCTGGCATTGCCCCGTGGCTGGCATCACTCTGCTGCCTTTCCAGGGCTGCCAGCTGTTCCTGCACCCCGGGCACGGTGTTGGGGTTCTGGGGCTGCCGGGGAAGTGGGACGATGACCCGAAGCCAGCGCCTAATCCCCGACAAAGCCTCCCCATTCCTCACGCTTGGCCGGGCAGGGAATGTGCTGAGGCAGCACCCGGGGGGGACCGTCCTTGCCTCTGACCTTCACGGCGTGTTTGGGGCACAGCGAGGTGATGGGACAGGGAACCCCGGCACCCCCCGACACCCCCCAACACCCCCCAACACCCCGTCCCAGCACCGCTGGATGGCTCAGCCCATGCGAGCCCCAAAGTGATCCGGGGCAAACACGTTGTGTTCGGGGGGGATCCCCGAGGCCATTCCCCCCGGCAGAGCCGAGGGACCGGCAGAAAGAGTGCGGGGGAGCGGGGGGGGGCCCCGATGCGCTCTGACACGTGCCCCGGGGAACGCCCGGTTTCACAGAAACCGGCCCCGGTGACTGGGGTGCCCGTGAGCTGTCCCCGGGCGAAGGTCGCTCCGGCTGGGAAAGGTGGGGAAAGGCCCGGGGTGACGCTTGTCACCGCCGGGGGAAAGCACGGGCACCCCCTCCCCGGGAACCGGGACCGCACCGACCCCGCACGTCAACCCCGCTGCCGGTACCGGGCGCTCCGAACCGCAGGGGTCGGAAGAAGCTCCGGCTCCTCGCTCTCATCCAGCGCACACAGCCGGGTCGCGATCACCCGTGGGTGCGGGGACACCGGAGTGGCCGTACACCCCTCCCCAAAAACACCCACTTCCTCCGGCGGGGCCGGGGCAGGAAGGGGTTAAGCTCGATTCTCGAAACTCGCCGCTCCGGGCTTCACCCGGCCCTCCTCTTCCTCCTCCTCCTCCTCCTCAGCGAAAGGGGCCACGGGCCGCTGCACCCGCGGGGCGGCTGTCACGGGCTGGGCGCGCCCCGCACCCCCTCCCTGCCCCGGGGCACCACCGGGCACCCCGCACCTTTCCCTGGCCCGGGGCATCCCTGGCCTCCCCGCGCCTTTCCCGGGGCGCTCCGCATCTTCTCCCGGAGCACACCGCAGCCGTTCCCCGGCCCGGAGCACCCCCGGGCACGCCGCATCTTTCCCCAGGACCCCCGCACCCCTTGGGGTGCGGGGGTCCTGGGGAAAGATGCGGCGTGCCCGGGGGTGCTCCGGGATATCCCGCATTCCCTCCCGGGGCATCCGCACCCCCGTGCACCCCGCACCCCTCTCCGGGGCACCCCCGCACCTGGGGTGGCGATGGCGGGGAGCAGCCGCTGCCGCCCGGGGTGCGGGACCCCGGCTCGGGCGGTTGCGGGGGATGCGCGACCACCAGGGTACCCCACGGGGGGGAAGGGGTGCGCGGAGTATCGTCGGGTCGCCCGTGGCGTGATGCGGGGTCTCACCTGAGGAACTCCTGCAGGCAGGTGTCGCAGAAGCGGTGGCCGCAGGTGGAGACGCGGACGGGCTCCCGCATGGGCTTCCCGCAAAGCGGGCACAGCACCCGGCGCCGCGGCCGCTCCAGCAGTTTGTAGTCGTAGCCCGGCATCCCGCCGCCGCCGCCCCGCGCCCGCCGCCGCCGCCGCCGCCGCCCCGCGCCCGCTCGGCTCCCCGCTCCGCGCCCGGCTCCGCCCGGAGGCCGGACGGGGCGGTGGGACCGGCCTGAGCCCGCCCCGCCACGGGGACGGCATCGCCACCGCCCCCCGCCCGGACCCCGCCTCCCCGCATTGGGGGGGGATGGAGCGGTGCCGGTATCCCGGGGGCTCGGGGGGCGTCACACCGGGGACAGCCCCTCCAAGGGGTTTGGGGTGCAGCACATGGGGCACAGCCACCCTGGGGACTTGGGGAGCACCCCACCGGGCACAGCCCTCCCGGGGGGGTTTGGTACCCACCACGCTGGGAGCAGCCGCCGCAGGAGTTTGGGGAGCATCAATATCACATCACAGACCCCCTCACCCACTGCAGCCTCCCCTGGCCCAGGGTGGGCTCTGGGGGCACGCACTGCGGTGCCCTCCCTGACCCTACGTGCCCTCCTTGACTCGGAGGTGTCCCAGGGGTGTCAGACTCCTGCAGGCAGCCCGAGGCCACGGTTGTGCCCCTGAGCGAGGCTGGAGGAGGAATACAGCTCCCAGTCCTGCTCCTTCCACAGGGAGCAGCTCCTGTCCCAGCCACCACCCACAGCGGGACGTGGAGGGGCTGCCCTGAGCCCCCCACGCCACAGGCACGAGGGGGACACCCGCTCCTGTGGCTTTGTCTTGCTGGGAACTCACACCCCAGGCTGCTGCCAACAGCCTCCCTCCAGCCACGGTTTGTAACTGAGCAAGAGCCTGGAGGAGGGAGAATAAAAGCAAATCTGTCTGGCTCCAGCCCCCTCGTCACTCTTTCAGAAATCAGAGCAGCATATGGGAGTCTTTGCCCCTTTCCCCAGAGATGGAGCCCAGCAGATGACAGGCTGTGAGCATGTGTTTAGTCCCACCAACGCTCACTCCAGCCAGCTCCCCATTAAGGGCGGCAGTTGCTCCAGACCCAAATGTTAGCAGTTTTCAATTAGCAAATGGCAGAGGAGAGGGATTCCTGGGGGACACGCTGAGCAAGTCGAGCTCTATCACTTGTCACTCAAGGAGCTCACGTTACCCTTCTCCTCGAGAGGCTCTGCTTAAAATAAAACCCTGCAGCAGCCCGGGGGGAGGCAGCCTGCTCGCTGCCAGAGCTGCCAGGGAGGGGATGGGTGGCTCATTTCTGGGGTTACCCTGAGGGATGGCAGGTTGTTCTGAGCTGCACTGGGGCTCCCAGAAATCAGGGAACCTTGTACTGGGGTACACTGAGCACGAGCTGCCATCAGCAGGGGCTTTACCAGGAGATGGGAGTCGCTGCTCAGATGATGGAGAGCACCGAGCTAAACTTTAACCAGCTCCCAGTGATACTGGAAACCCGACAGGTAAAAACAAGTGACAGTGGGCAACTGTACAGGGAGCAGTGGGGAGCAACAGCCACCTTGAGCTGGGGTTGAGGTGCTCCCCGGCCAGGTTTGCTCAGGGCTGGGACACCCCCAGGGCAGGATCGACCAGCAGCCCCGCGGTCCAGCTGGTTCTGCCACTCTGTGCCAGCAGAGCCCGGAGCCAGGCTGTCTCCAGCAAGAGATAGGCACAAGCCAGACACTGCCCCTGACACGCTGTGACCCAGTCCCGACTAAAAGCTGTCCCTGGACACGACTCTGGGACAAGGTTCAGGCCAAAAGGACCTCGGTATCCTGGGGGCTGACGGGACTCCAAAGACAGGGCACATCAGTCCTGTAAACACAGGCAGCCTGTGCCTCCGATGACAACCATGAAACAGCCGACTTTTATCATTATTTACTGCTTCTCTTTGATGTTTTAAAATTATTCTTCCCTAACCTCACTGAAGAGCATCTCTGCTAATTAGCCAGGAGCTGACAAAGCCATCAGAAGGTGCTGGCTGTGCCGGCAGGGCGGCTGGGAGGTGTCAGACCCTGCAAACAAAGATCCGTCCTTTTCCCCTCTCTCCTAAGCAAAGCCCTCCCCGCCTTCAACATCACAGCCAGGCATTTGTCTCACACAAAGGCGACACTCAGGGTAATTCCCTTTGTGGAGGTGATATGTTCCCTGTCTCCCATGATGGGTCACTTCTTGAAACCATCTGAGTTCGGAGAGGCCTCTTGTCCTCTTCCCCAGCCTTTCCCTGCTACTCCATCCCTCCGCCTTCTATTTAACTTAAACTGGAGGGACGGAAAACCGACGCTCCGGCTTCTAAACAAGTTAAGGTGGAGCCTTTGGCCCCAGGGAAAGGAGTGGGGAGAGTCCTCTGCTGGGGCCTCGTGCCCAGAGAGGGCAGGGAAAGGGATCCAGGCAGACGGACAGAGGGACAGCAGCCGCACCTCCTGCCTAAGCCTCGTGGGAATGAGGATACGACCTCGACAGAGGTGCCGGAATCAAAATAAATCAGCTGCGGGATCAGCAGGCAGTTTCCTGCTAGAGTAATGGCCCCAAGTCAGCAGGATCTTACTTGGAACAGGGACAGCCTTTCCCTGGGTGACAATGGCCACAGGGGACCCGCACCAGGATGCACCAGCGGGGAGCAGGCAGCCTCATCCCACATCACCTCCCCTCCGGCCCTGCCTCTCCTTAGCAGGAGCAGCCGCGGGGACCCCGATCCAGCACCAGCTCCACACAACACAGGAACAAAAAAAGGGATAAAGGGAGAAGCCCCGAGACCTGCAGATTTCACCGGGAGCTTCTGCAGGGAAACAAAGCAGCAGACGTGAGGAATGCAAGTGGCCTATTTGCCCGGGCTGCTCTCTGCCTCCGGCAGCACGGACATGCCTCGGCTTGGCGTTCCAGGAGCTTTTGTTGCTCGGGGCTGGGGGCCTCTTTGTTTCCTTTACCCTTTCGCTAGGCTTGGTCACAGCCCGGTATTAAATTATTCAAATGATCTCGCTGGGCTCCACAGCTGAACTCCTGTGTGGAGAGCCCAGGCTGTGAAATCCCGAGGGCTCCAGCCCTCCCCGCAGCCCCTGCCCCAGCACAAAGGGCACTGCTCCACATGGGTTTCCCCAGTCTGGAGCAAAGGAGCCCAATATTCGAGCTGGTGACACCTCCAGCGTCAGCACTGCAGTGCAAAGGTGCCATTAAGCCATAAAATCATCCACCTAACACCAGTACACTGATAGGAAGCAAGAGGGGGGGGCCGCACCCCTGGATTTGGCAGCCCAGCTAGAGCAGGAAGAGCTTGGCTCCTGAAGCAGTGGCGTTCTGGTGCCACTACTGACAAAACAAAGGGTGTTACACCTTTGTCCTGCCTGCTGCTGTCCTCAGCCCTGCTAAGGCTGCAGGAGGAGCACCAGCCCCTTCCTATGGGATGTGTTTAAATGTGGTGTGGGGCGAGGAGAGCCCCGAGAGCTCTGCACAACACAGGAAAAAGAAATCTAATGCTGGAAGGAGCTGGAGCTGCTGCCAGCTCCATGCAGGGAGGAGAGGCAGTGGCCCAGAGGGGTTTTGAGGGAACTGAACCCAGCCCTGCCACCACCCTGGTGCCCAGGTTGGTCTGGGAGGGGAAAGCACCGACACCGCGCTGAGCCGTCTCCATAACCTGCAGCACCACGGGAAAGTGCCAAAGGACTGGCAGAGCCTTTGAATTCCTGTCGGCTTCCTGGGATAGCAGGGTGTAACCGCCTGAAAAGGCAGCTCCACAAGAAACAAAAAAGGCAGGGAAAAACCCATGCACCCACCCTGCCAAGGAGCCAAAGAGGGAGGCTGTGTCTGCAGCCAGGGCTGCACACGCCTCTCCCGGCCGGACGGGACCTGCTCCTTCCCCAGCCGGAGCCTGGGAGGCGAGGGAAGGACGGGCAGGAGAGCTGCACAAATTCATTACCTTCCACATGACAGAGGGATCAGTTGGCTTTTAGCAGGTTTCCCTCGTTGAAAACAGGAAAGAATCACAAAAATAATTAGAGAGATTTCATCTCAGCCAGCTTATGAAAGCACTGACTTTATACACAACAGATTGGCAACAGCACAAAGATGGATGTGAAAGGCAAGAGCATTTGCAATGTCAGACAGATCAGAGACAGAAGCTCATCAAAAAATGGCCCAGGGCAAATGTAAGTTAAAAAAGGGAAAAGAAGAGGAAAAAAATAAAGGAAAGGAAACAACCCTTCTGGAGACAAAAAATGTGACTCCTGTCCATAACACATGGATGTGCTTCTCCTGCCTGCAAAGACCCCTGGGTGAAAACTCATCAGTTCCCTGGACAAATCTGGGTTAAAAAACTTCAAGTACTGAAGATCACTGGCTGTGTTTTGCTGCCTTCCCTAGCTCAGCTGGGAGCCAGTGAGCCGGTGAGCAGCAGGACTGAGGGGCCTGAGGATAAATGTCAGCTGGAGAATCCTCCAGCGAGCTCCTGGGGCCAGGGGAGGCTGTAATTGGAAAGCTCCAGGCTGCATTTGGGGAGAGCTGTGCAACACAGGGAGGCTGCTCGTGCAGAGCTCGGCCAGCCGTGCAGGCAGGACCCTCCAAAGTGTGCTCAATAAATGGGTGAAATGTTTTAGTGGGGGGATGGGAAAGGACAGACTTCTGTAATTAGCAAAGAGGTTTGCATTTAGTCACCCAGCACAGCGCCTGGGGCCCTGACTCCAGACACTGTGCAAAGGCTGACAGCTCTCTCAGACACGGAGCTGTCAGCCTGGGCTTTGTAACCAGAAACAGCTTCCACAGAGGAAAACAACCTCTGTGCTTCTCACTCTTCCACACAGGCACTTCCAGCAGGGAGGGGAAGAGCCACGGTGTGACCCCCTGAAGGCAGCACCAGAGCTCTGGGCATGTCCAGGGCGGTGACTCTCAGGCACTGGAGGTTCACAGTGACGATTCAATAAGTGAGACCAGCTCTGGTTCCTTGGGAACCATCGTTAGGAGCTCTCTGTTTCCAGACTGCTGCCTTGAGAGTGCAGCTGAGGAGCTCTGGAGCCTGGAGTGTATCTGAGCCAGACCACCATGGGCAGCAGGAAGAGCAGGATGTGGCTGCTCTCACTCACTG